GCCCCCGCACCGCCATGTGCCGCGCCACGCCGCCAGCCGCCCGCGCCGCCAGCGCCCTCCGCCTGCTCACGCTGCTGCTGTGCGCTGCGCCCTGCCTCGTTGCCCCAGGTCAGTGCCGGCCGCTGGGGAAGTGACGTGATAACGGGCGTGTGACATGAGCGAGTTGCCACCGGGAATGATTGGTCGTTGTTGACGGACCTCGCGGATAGAATGTAACGTATGTAATAGCATTAATGCAGCACCTCCTGATGCTACCCATTTCTTAAATATCTGAGTTCCGTAATCCTTCCCGGCCTCGTTGCTCACGGTCTGTGCCATCAGGGCCCTGCTCGAAAAGTGATGGCGTGTGGTGACGTTTCTGTGATTTTTGTATTACATTTCAAGAGGATTACATGCTTCAGTAATTACAAATTTGTCACACTGCTGGCTTAAAACTAACTTGTAACTTTTTTTTTACATATAGTGCATTTTCTGAGGGAACCTATTAAGGCACCTCTGTTCATTCCATTGTATAAGAGAGAACAGTTTAAGAAATACATTGCACATCTGCACAGCGTGAATTCGGATAGAGATGGTATTTGCAGTAATTTCTTAAATATCTGCAGGGATTAAGCAATTAGCAGCCCAAAAATGTACCCATCTCTTACGGTAGGTGATTGTCACTCCTAAAAGTGATGTGTGATGACGGATTGAGACGACCAACTCATTTGAGCCCCCTCTGCTTGTGCTAATGTTGTGCTAATGCTTGTTAAGAGCTGTTTTTGTCGGAATTTGCGAATTAAGTGTAACTTGCCCTCCCAGTTGAGAACTTTCTTAAATATCTTGCTGCTTTAATTCCCTTCGGAGGTTTATCTGCGTCAGACGCCGCAGAAGTGATTTAGTGATCCGCCGGGAAAGTGATGTGTAGTTGAGTTCGTGTGAAGAATGATAAAACGAGCAAGTCGAATGTGTTACTGTTGTCTGTCAGTATTGACAGGCTTCTCATATCTATAAGAGCTATTGCCATTCTGTAAATGTGTTAATTTACATGACGTTTGGTCTAGCATGGTTGACATAATTCACAAATTTGTACCGGGAGAGGTGGCTCATTGCATCATGTGATTTCACTGCAGTGCCTATGAAGGTTCGTGTCCCGACAGTGACAGGATTTTCGACACTATTTTGTCAGCTAGGTAGAATTCAGTCACCAGGAGAGGAGAATTGTGGATGCTCTGATCGGTATTTTTCCGTGCTTTCTCCGATCAGCACCAGTCGAATGCCGGAGCAGTGCCCTAACAAACGGGTCACGGGCAGGTCGGCGCCGAATCTCGCCATCTAGCGGAATAAGATCACTCCTACCTCCAGAGGAAAGAACATGCACTAATCGTGCGGGACTAATGACATCCGCAGTTAAGTCGCCCAGAATCACTAGCAACCAACTAGAAATCTGCCTATTCTATAATTGATCATCTGAGGAGACTGGTTTCCATTCTTGTCATGGCCTACCATGGACGTCCCGGCCTCTCGGTCGTGGGTTAAGAGTGTGAGTGTGGTCGGCAAGAAGACATCCCCACGCTGTATTTTCAGCCCGAGAAGTGAGTTTCTTCTTCGTCACATAGCAACGTATACTGGGACCCTCCAAGGAATATGCACAGTATAATCTTGTCTGGCCGGCAATCAAACCTGGGGTCGCCTTATGGAAAGCGAGGACGCTGACCAGTGAGATAAGCCGCCAGGCTATGATAAGTTAGGTACGTTTTTAAATATCTATTCTTTAGTGTCCACCATATGCTAAGCGCCAAACAAATGAGCAGTAGAGGTGCTCTTGTAAAACGCAGTCGGCACTCTCTTGGTGAACAAAAGTGTTCTTACTTTCGTGTGAGGGCAGATCGAAACAAGCAAGAGTTCATGTGAGCATTCGTATGTTTAAACTCATAATCTTTGCCAGTTGCTTGTCTTTCTTCGTGAGAGAAATATGCGAAGTAGAAAAAATATTTCCTTCTTCATTTCACTACTTCTAGACATTGCAACTAGTATAAAAAATGATAACAGAACGAAAATATGCTACGGAAATGTAGTCTCATTTATGGGGAAAAGGTGCTTATGTCCCATGATGTTTTTTCTCTTTTTTATTTTCGACTATACCAAATACTGTGTGTAGTGAAGTAACTTAAATTGAAGTATATCTCGGACTTAAATATTTGATACAGCACCTCTTTAAAGAAACTGCTAGCATTTTTGCTTCAAAATATTGTTTAAACATTAATTTCAGGTAAGAGGAAGTTAAATTTCCGGATATCTCGCTGGGTGATGAAATACACTTCATCATTTAAGAACAACGGGCACTGCATTACGTCCTCTCACTGTGCGTGGCGGCACTAGACTCCCCTTTAGTCCCGAAAGAGGCCATCCGTGTTGGTGATCTCCGGAAGTCC